TCTACTCGCCACGTGCGACGAAATCGGGAAGGCGACGACGGCGACGAGAGCGATGACGACGACGATGACGAGGGCGACAATAACGATGACGACAATGCCGACCGCGACAGGGGCGACGAGGACGACGACCAGAACTACGACGTCGAGGTTGAGGAGGATGACGACGGAGGCGACGACGGCGATGACGACGAGGACGACGACAACGGCGACGACAACGACGACGGCGGTGAGGACGACAATTGCGACAACGACCACCGCGGGCGGGCGCACCCTAGTGTGCGGATCGGGTGGGCGGGTCGGGTGAGCGGGCCCTAACAGGCGGGTCGGGCGGGCGGACGACGATGACGGCGATGACGAGAACGACGACGATGACGACAACAACAAAGACTACAAGGGCGACGATGACGAGGGCGACGGCAACGACGACGACCCCGACGAACACGGCGAGGACGACGACGATGACGACGAGAACGGTGACGATGGCGACGATGACGACGGCAACGCCGACAACGACGACCATAACGACGACGAGTCATAGATGACACAAGCGAGGGCATGCACGATGACGACGGCGACGACGAGGACGACGCCTACGACGAGGACGGCGACGAGGACCAGGACGACGACAACGACGACGACATAGGTGACGACGACGCCGACGACGAGGACGATGACGCCGACGAGAGCGACGACGACGGCGATGATGCGGGCGACGACTGCGACGACTACCTGCGATGACCATGACGGGCGGGCCTGGGGGGGCGCACCCTAACGAGCGGGCCGGGCCGTTGGAGCCTAACGGGCGGGTCGGGCGGGCGGGCCCGAGTAGGCGGGTCGGGCGGCCGGCACTGATGGGTGGGTCGGGTCGGGCAGGACATCAGAGTGGTGCAGAACTCATCCAGCAGAACATCCACGTGGGCGACGACGACGAGCACGACAACGACGAGGACAAGGGCGGCGACAACAACAACGACGATGCCGGCCACGACGAGGGCGACGATGACGACGTGGACGACGACGTGGACGACGAAGTTAACGACGAGAATGACGACAAAGACGACGACGACGACGACTACGAGGGTGACAACGACGACGACGGGAGCGACGGCAACGATGTCGACGCCGAGGACCCCGACGAGGACGACGAGCAGGGCGACGACGACGACGGCAACGACAACGACGATCGCAACAACAACGACGAGGAGTCTTACATGACACGGGAAATGACTTGGACGACTGCGACGAGGACGGCGACGTGGACGACGACTACAACGACGACAAGGCAACGACGACGACGACCACGACGGCGGCGACGACGTGACCGACGCCGACGACGACAACGAGGACGACGGCGACCAGGACAAGGACAACGACGAGGAGGACGACGACAATACGATGACAACGAAAATGGTGACGACGACGATAAGGATCATGATGAAGAGGACGTCCACGACAACGACGACGGCGACAACGCCGACGCCGAGGACGACGACGAAGAGGATGAGAACAATGACGAAGAGGACGACAACGAGAACGACGAGATTGACGACAACGAGGGCGACGCCGACCAGAACGACAACGACAACGCGATCGACGACGACGACAATACGACGAGGGCAAAGACACGGAGGAGGAGGAGGAGGAGATTTGACAACGATTCTAATGCATTCCCAAAGATGTCTTTCGGATTCTGAACAATTACCTGAGGTTTCGTAAGCATGTCTTGACACTGCATTTATTCCTCGGGATTCTGTAATGCTTTCAAAATATTCCTATGGAGTCCCATGTATATACAACAGTATATCCTACACATTCTGGTGGATTTCCTCGCATTTCCTAGGCCCTCACCTTTATTCTCACGTACCCGCTTTTTGTTGCATGTTCTCCCGTGTCTTTTGAACCTATCATTATCTTTAAAACGTCCGGCACCCGCCCCTCAGCCCTCCATTGTTTGACGTTTCTGGCCTCCCTTGTCTTATCTGGCATTGATCATATCCAGAGCCTCCTGGCAATCACCCCGCCACCTGCCTTCGCTTCCTTTTTCGTAGCCGTTTTCTCTTTCCGTATCCGTTCCTTTTTTTCAGTGTCCTTCTGATTTTCCTTACCTACTATCCTATCCTACTATCCTATCCTACTATCCTATCCTACTATCCTATCCTACTACCCTACTATCCTATCCTACTTTCTATTGTCCTTCAGTGCCCTCCTATCCTACTGTCCTTCTGATTTTCCTTACCCTCCCGGCCCCCCCTCCCCTCATGCGGGAGCTGGGGGTTGGGGGGCGAGCTGGCCGGCGCACCTCCTGTGACCTGCCCCCCGCGGCCGCCGAGGTGCCACACATTCCTTCTGCGATGGTTCAAGAAGAGCTCCTCCTCCTCCTCCTCCTCCTCCTCCTCCTCCTCCTCCTCCTCTCCGGCACTCTGGAGAGGCCTCACGAAAACCGTGGATGGCCTCGAGACGGCCCAGGAGGGCTTTCAGAGAGCCCCAAGGGGACCCCGACGAGGGCCTCAGGAGGCAAAGACCCTGGAACGCGCTCAAGAGTTTGGATGATCTTCGCGCTCTCGCTTTCTGTCGGGCTTCAGAGAATCCCCCCAAAAAAGGCGAGAGAAACCTCTCAGACAGGCTCAAGACGGCCCAAGAGTGCCCCAAGAGGCCTGGACACGGCTCCATTGGGCCCTGAGACGAGGGCCCCAAGACTGTCAAAAAGACCTCCAAGAGGGCCCTATTAGGGGCCAAAGGGGTGGAACTCGCAGCGTCCCAGGAAGCCCTCCCCCACAAGATGATCCCCCAAACTCCCAACATGCCCCCAGGAGGCTCCCAAGAAGCCGGCAGATGGCTCTCAAAGCCCCCCCCCACCCACGAGCCCTCAAAAGGCTCTAAGTGGCCGCCCCCGTATGCCTCAAAGAGGCCTCCAGGACGCCCCGCAACTGACGCGGAGGAAGATGAGGCCGAATTCGCAGCGACTCTAGGCAGGCAGCGCGACGGGGAGAAATCGGAAGCCGCCCATCTCTTCTGGAGGTCTGCAGAATGGCGTAAACCTCTTGCATAGCAAACGTACGCCGCACCGCATACCAGTACTTACATGACAGCAGTGGTGGGCTCGCAATGGCTGCGTTTTCCTTTCAAGACGTGGTATGCGAGCGCTGAAGCTGATATAGCTGTGTCTCCTTCTGGCGCCATACAAATCTACAGGTGTGGTACATCGCAATTCGTACGTCTTCCTCTCTTACCAGTGCAGATGATGATAATGGCCTTGCCGCTGCTATCAAGTCATGGTGACGCTGCCGCCTGCCCCTGCTGCCAGTGCGTATATGCGGCTTCTAATGAGACTTGTGCTGCTACGGGTCCTGCTGCTAGTGTTGCCTCCATTTCGACAATGACTGATACCATTACGACTCCTGTTGCCACTGCTATTGCTGCTACTCGTGCACGCCACAGCGCCAAAGGCACTGCATCGAGTGTCCTCAAATCCCTTCGAGACCCCAATGCTACATATAATGCCCCGAACCCCGATTTCTGGGAGCTCTTGGGCTCTCCCAGGGATTCCAGCATGATTTCTTCAGAGGCCCTGGACGCGTGGTTGAAGGCATCTCTTCACACGTTCCGCCAACTAGATTGCCGATACTGCGGGGAGAGGAATAGCAGTGGGATGGAGGGCGGGTGGGAAAGGAGGGAGGGAGAGGAGGGAAGGAAGGGGCCTAAGGAAGGACGGAAGAAATGACAGGAAGGAAGGGGGCAGCGGATGTAAGGACAAGGGAGGAGTGTGGGGGGGACTGGGGAAGAAGGCGGGGGGGGAGGGAGGGAAGGAAGGCGGGTCGATTGACCGGAGAGGGCGGAAGAAACGCAATCTCGCACGCGCGGGGATCAGCCAGCTGTGCGCTCTTGCGCTCCCCCCTTTCCAGCAGGCCTAGGAACACCAGTCGGCGCGACAGTCTCTCGGATACCATGTGGCAGGGAGGCGCCATGGGCTTCTTGGCAAAGCGAAGATACTGCAGGACACCTCCCTCGCCGTCCCTTCCGCCTTGAGAGCGGCCCCGCTGAGACGTGCATGTGCCATGATCTCTTTCTCCCGCCCAGAGCCAACTCGATGCAGCGGCCTTGAAACAAGCGCTGGCTACTGCACTGCGTAAGTACATGACCACAGCAAACCTTTTGCTGAGAAGTGCGCGGCCGCGCGATACAGAAACACACTCAGGCCTCCTCAATTGCCTCTCTCTTTCCGTTCCTCTTCCTCTCTCCCTCCCCCTCCCTTTGTCCATCTCTCTCTCTCTCTGTTTGTCTGTGCTACCTCTCTATCTCTTTGTATCGTAGGCAGCGGGGGTGCGCCCTGAAGACGCGGCGCGGGAGGTAGCGGGGGCACACACACACACACTCACGCACGATCATACACGAGCACGCAAACCGTACAAACACATGCAGAATCACACAATCACGCGCAATCGCGTACACGCGCACGCACGCACGCACACGCACGCGCACGCACGGACGCGTGTCCTCCAACGCGCGCGGTCATGAAATGCACCCAGTTGTGCAAGTGAAACAGAGACGGGGTGCGTGCACATTACTTACTACCTTGAGTGGCGTCGCGCGCGAACCTGCTCTCACGGCCAAGGGCGGGAGTAGCCGATTGCTGAACAGCCAATGTCAGGCGCATGCGGGACACGAGAGCGCGATGACAACAAGAACCCCCCAGGCTGGGCAGGGAGTGGGGCAGAGGGAAAAGAGCCAACGTCGAACCGAACAAGCGCCGCGGACGGGGCCCGACAGGCAGGTGAAGGGAGGGCGGGGCGCGAGGGCGCCGCATTCTGTTTTTGGACGTCTCAGCGCGGCAGAAGAAATCCGCGCGCGCGTCTGGGCCAGACCAGGACACGGCGTAGCGAATTAGCCCGCGTGCAAGAGGGGCGGGGGGGGGGGACAGTGCGGAGGGGCACTCTCGCGCAGCGGGGCTGCGGCAAGCGCGCAGAAGCGGCCAGGCTGAGGGCCCCCCCCCCGCAAATGTC